AAAAGTGGTTCCGGCCAAAGAGCTTTGATTTGTACGAGGCATTTTGTTTCGTCTCTCTTGAACAGTGTTCTAGTACCGGCATCGGTTCTAGCGCCCGACTCTTCTCTCGGTGATGGCAATCGAAATAATTATCATAAAGTAAATCCCCCGCAATTCGGCCGCCGCCCTCGGTCGGAATCGCAGTAAATAGCTCCCTCCAACGGAGCTCTAGAGACGTTTATCGAGATTATACATCGACAACTTTTTTTATTTATACCAATCATAGTAAAACCATAAATGTCTGAAAATATTTGTAGGTTTGTTTACAACTTTATTCGAATATGACGTTTGAAGTGTAGCATTAAAGTCCCTTGTGACTTCCACAAAGTAAACAGAATTATTTTTTAACATAATTAGACGCACCGCGAATTTTCGCTTAATAACTAATACGCATTGAGCACCTTATAAGATCCAGCAAAAAAAAATCAATTTTTTTATACAAATTAATGACACTTTTTCTCGTATCATTCGCTCATCCAGTTGCTATAAACATTTTGACAATAAGGAGTCCACAGCTTTCTGAAATCCTTCATAAGAGTCTTAATAAACTGAAACTAATGAAAGTCTGAGATTGCAGGATCGCTCTCAACCTACCGTTCGCAATATTAGCAGTATAGCTAAAAATGTGAACAGTTTTGTAAACGAAATGTTTTTGGAGCACCTCAGTCACGTCATAATTACGAAACCAGCTCAACGGTTCTAATTTCACCATAGTTTGTACATATTGGACGTATTTTTATCATGATCTTTCGAACCCTTTCTTCTTGTAGTGAGCAAAGTAATTCACTTAATTATATTTTCAAAATTGTTTCGTTACGCAAAATTAGCAAGGCACATAGATTATTGTTAGGATTGATACACAAACGAAGCATAACTCTAGGAGTAGTATTGAAAAACGCCTTAAAACGACTAATATCCTAGCATTATAAATTAGATTAGATATTCTTTTTCTCTAGGAATATTGTGTTCACTTATGTGCCGATTTGACTTCACTTCTTACAAAACACATCAACTTTCTAAGTAATAGAGTATGCCCTTGTTAAAACCATGTCACTCTATAGGGCTTTTGAATATTTCTAAAGCAGAGTCATCAGAATGGATTAATGGCGATACAATACGTAGATATCATACAGCGCTGATATACGAGTAGTAGTAGTGACCGATGAAAAATGGAACCAGAATGACAGTTTAATTTCGTTATAAAATCCATATTCTTTTTTGAATTTTTGGAAATGTTTGACATCGTTTCTTGACTCTAAATTTTCATTAGCTTTAGTAAAAGTTGAAAAACTATGCTTCGCAAAGTCTATAACGGGAGACTTTTTTGCTGAGCAGTCTGAAAAGAACCGACAATAAACTTAACAACTAGCGACTGTTTTTAATGACATCCTAATTCTTAACAATCCAATTTTTAGAATATATTTCATAATATAAAATATCCAAAGACAATCTAATTGACGAGCTTAAATAATACCAAACACAATTTTAAAAATTAATATTTCTCACGGGGCCTAGTGATATTCTCTAACCACGACCAAAGTCGAAGGGCAACATTTGTGTTAGATATTCCGCAATAAACACACAGAGTTGCTTAAGAACAAACTTATTTCATTATCGAAGTACCAAGAAATTACATCTAATTAATTTCGTTAAATAATGTAACTGTATAACAATGACTAGCGGGGCGTGGAGCGATCGCGTGCTGCTTCTGTACGAGAACCACCGAACAATTGTGTTAAGGTTTTTGCCAGTCTCATCTCACCGTAGGATATCAATGCTACATGAAACTGGATTCACCCTCGTTACTTACTTTAACATTTATAGGGTTCCGTAACTGATGGTACAGAGATCTCTAACATAATAACAATATTAATAAAATGTTTATCCGATAATTATATCTTGGAATAAGATTCAGTTTTTTGTTGTGGGATAAGTTGTGTTCATTTAGCTAAAGTAACTGTATGACGAAGGAAAGGACAAAAAAGAGACAAAGAATAAAAGAATTTAGAACAGTTGCCTATTGCAAATGAATCTTGTAATTTTTGTAATTATTTTGGTTTGTAGAACCCTCGGTAGTATAAGATTAATTTGCGCTCAGCCAAAGTTCCCCTACTTTACACTGCATCCCTTCTTTCTAATATCAATAATAGCTCCAAGGTAGCAAACGCTGAGTTGGCTCGACCTCCGCCGCGTTATACGATTCTGAAGGACGTTCGTGTTCTCATTGACCGAGATTTCAAAATTGTCTATTCATTTTTCTAAAATTCATCAAAAAAATTTCACCCTTTAATAAGAAGAAATTTTGCTACATGTACAGATCTTAAAACATCCTGTAAGTGTGGTTACTTATTCGTTAATTTAGTTAGTAGGCATATTATTTACGATATTTTCCAACAATATAATGACCAATTTTGTAGTGTGCTTGTGTCCTGACTGTCGCTGTCGCTCTCATTAAACGCCATCGACGTATTTTCCAAACACAGCTTTATTGTTACGAGTCGTGATTAGCGAGGTATCTGAGCAGACTGTGGTAATAATAAGTAGCCGGTACCTTCTCATTCCCACCCCCTGATTACCGCACCCCCCTCGCCGACACGCGCCCATCACACTCACCTCTCAGTACTTCTTTCGAAATAAGTCTAATTTTGTACTCGTTTGGGGACACGTGTTGTCATGGACCATTTTTATCAATTCAAAGATATTCTCCCCTTGAACCGTTTTATTCGGTTGTTTAATAACAGTTTGACATGTTTAAAGTAACTGATATCAATCCTTTTGTTGACCTAATTCATTAAACTGAAGCTAGATTCTTACGGCATCTGTTGGCGCGTGACGCGACACGGGCCGAGCGATTTTGCCCCGCAGGGGTCGCATGTTCCCGGCCCACGGGGACGCGGTCCCTAGTGTAGGTAACGCCAACGCCCCTCTTGAATAGTCACAGAAAAAAAACAACATTGCCGATCACTTCCACTCCGGAAATGGCAAGACATTTTATGTTTTATAATCTGATATGCCAATGTTTTAATTTAACATACTTACAAACTAAAATGCTGTTCATTTTAAATTATCATTGATTATTGCTCAAAACAATGCAATCTACCTAATTAATTTGCCACAACATTAACATGAGTTTGATTGTATACAACTAATGTTCAATGGCAGTTTTTTTACGAAAATATATAGAGATCGAAATATCTATTCTTTGAATAAATAATGCAGCAGACATGTTGTCTTACGATCCGCGTAATAGCGCGTGTCGTAATGGCGGACGGGCACAACATCGACGCATAAAAATCGCAACCCCGGTGCGTTTCGTAACGAACGCACCTGCCGGCTGGGTAGTCGGTGATTAACATTCATTACCTTATCTCTCACATTCTCTCGTATTCATAAAAATGCTATTAATATTTTTAGTATGTATTATACATAAATGTCAAAAGCATACTTTTCAGATATGGTATGTGCACGACTAGTAGGGTTGTCGTAGCAGCCAAAATGCTGACCGGTATTTTAGTAGTAACTGATTGAAATTATCCAAGTAAACAATTTTTGTTTTTATTCCCAGTTTATTACCTTCTTATTATTATTAACAAATCAACTTAAAATAATTAAAATGAAAGTTAATATCTGCATCTAGTTTCTACATGAAACACTAATTTTAATTGACAAGCGCATTAATGCTGTTATCCATATCATCCTAATTTGAGGCAAAATGCGCTATCGAGGATACTGTTTCTGAAATTAATTCGCTGCAAACTTCTAAAGTAACCAATTTTAGTAGTTGCATTTGTGTTCAATCGAATTAAAAATAAATTATGTACACACACGTCAGATTGCCACAATTGGTTTGATTTTGAATTCTTCGCTCAATGTTAAGGTTTGAAATAAAGTGGAAAAAATTATCAGTTTTGGAAAACGTGACGTGCTGTTGACTGTACATCCCAACTCTTATTATGAAGTTGTATGTATGTATATAATTATGTCGTTTAGCCAATCGACAGGTCAAACAATCAAAGTATCAACATAACTGAGAAAAATGTTTCCAATTCGAAAAGACCATTCGTGGTTTTGTTTGATCAGTCAGATTTGTGTTTCCGTGCGAAATTACGGGACCCATGTTCGATACTACGGCGATAGCACTCTGGAAACTACTCAATGGCCCACTACGTGCCACTACACTCTAGAAAGAGGCTGAATTGAAATACGATACCTCTCGACACCCGAGGTGCTTATCATGGGCTGGGAAGTTTTGCTTTTCATTGTTCAAATAAAGTTATTTCCAAAAACTTTCATGACCTCCATGGTCGCTTTCTTTAAATGACAGTTTTATGGTATCGCTTGTTTTGGTGGTTCTAGGTTCCTTTCAGGCTTGGAAGAGAAATAAAAAATGTATCATAACATTTGTCAACTTAATTAAATCAAGGATTCAATAGATAAGCCATTAAATCCTGAATACTAATGAAATTTAACGAGATGGGCTTTATAATGTCGCTTCTGGCACTCGATTAGCGCTGTTTGAAAAATTAAGTGATTCCAAAAAATAGAGCTTAATGAGTTTTAAGCTATACATTAACAAAGAAGACGTTTCTGTTGCTTATTTTTTTCTAAAATCCAATTTTATTTATGATGTTTGTTTTTTACACATAGCTGTATCAAATGCAGAGGCGGATTTGCAGGCCGCTCTAGGCCATATAGTACTAGCCGCTCCTTTTTTAGACACTTCGTATGCTAATTTACTACTTTCTTGACTACGTTTATTGAAAGATGTTGAAAAATTTAGTTTTGATTAATTTAAGAATTAGTTTTGAATTAACAAATGAAGAAACAATTTTATGCCATTATTGACCATCCCTAATAGCTGGCCCCGTTATGCCCAGACCTATTGTGGCCATAGGATAAATTCGCCGCTGCTCAAATATGTTTGCTATTGGTTTTAATGTTCAATTGTATATGTGTTTCAGCGGCGATGGAGGAGGAATCTAGTGATCTACCAGGCACAGACGGACTGGCGCCGAAGCAACGGCACCAGGCGAAACACCGCGAACTGTTCCTTTCCCGGCACGTGGAAACGCTGCCGGCCACACACATCCGCGGCAAGTGCACCGTCACGCTGCTCAACGAGACGGAGTCGCTGCTCAGCTATCTCAATAAGGATGTGAGTATGTACCGGAAAACGCACCGCATCAACAACAATAATATACTCCTAACTAAACCTATTATAAACCGACGCAATTTAGATTAAATTCATTAAGATGATCAATTAGCAGAATCTCTCACATAATAAATAATAAAAGAGGTCAATCAGAACAATCATTTGTTGTTTGTAAGACAATCTATCCTGTTTATCGGTTACTTCCTACCACCAACACTATTGTACTCACTTACGCGGTAGAACCACTGATTTGAATAAGTACTCCAACTCTATACGAGTTCATATAATTGTTATATCGAATGACTTGATGAATTTTTAGTCTTTATTACTGTTAAAATAAATCAAATCACTACCCCAACGAACATTGATGAGATATGAAGAATGAAACGTACATTGATACACTGTTCTGTTTTGTTTCAGGACGCATTTTTTTATTGTTTAGTATTTGATCCTTCACAAAAGACTTTATTAGCAGATAAGGGAGAAATCAGAGTTGGAAGTAGATATCAGACTGAAGTAACTAATTTATTAAAAGAAGGTAAGCATTGATATTTTATTATATAATGTCTATTGTAAAAAAGGAGATTTTTATGTTTCTCATTTCAATAATATTGTTAAAAAAAACTTATTTACCTGTTAAAAAAATGTTTTATACCTAACGAGAATTGTGAAAAGCAAAACCGAACTAATCAAGGAATCAGGAACTAATCTCGAGAGTTATTGTCTTTGAACTGATGTAGCCCTCAGCGTTTGATTCCTAGGTTGACACTCAGTAGATAAAATTGAATAGAGTGCCATGATATTTTGATCACTGCATGCTTAGATCAAATGCAACTTTAGTTGCCTACATGTAATTGAACTTCTGTACTTCCATCTTTTTGACTACCTTGGCGCTTCGATGAATATGACGCTGACTGTAAACCAGTTTTATCTTAGTTTATAGTCATTTACTTTAGGACTTCGTAAGCCTCGAAGTCTTCTGAACTTAAGTCAGTCATGGACCATACATTTAAAAGTGGTAGGCTTCTTTCATGCGTGTGTCATACAAAAAAAAACTTTTAGTCAAATTATCTAACTAATTCAACTGCATCCAGAGTTGGCATGTGAACGGCCCATAAAGAATTTCTATAAAATTAGATATTCGACTTAATATGTATTTGATATTAATCATGAAGTCTAACTAATGTCAAGGCGAAGAAGACCCACGCAACGGCGAAGAATTGGAAACTCTTGTTTGGACGCCGGAGCATGGTCTGACGGACCGACAGATTGACCAGTTCCTGGTGGTGTCCAGATCTGTGGGTACCTTCGCGCGCGCCCTCGACTGCTCCTCTAGTGTGAAGCAACCCTCGCTGCATATGTCCGCCGCAGCCGCCAGTCGAGACATCACATTGGTGAGCTGCTCTCTACACTACATTATAACTAATCGTGATACCTAGTTTGTGTGTTTGTTGAACTCGAATTAGTTTATGAAGTGAAATTTTTTATCGGCTTCATAATCATAAACTACATACTGGTGCCGAAGATATGTCAACGAATGCCAGAGCTGACAAAACCATCCGTCAGTCTATCGAGCGTACTAAGGCTACTTTTTTATCGTATCACACATTATATAGCTGTACTGGAAATGGGAAGTCTTGCAGTGCTATATCATTTTTAAGTTACTTGTTATGATTATAACTTCTAATGTCTAGAGTTGTATGAGCTTGCAAACTCTTGCGCAACCGACCGCTATGATAAACGCCTACCGATCTGTAACCGTATTATATGTGTAAAAAAAAATTACCTATATTGTCACAAATCTGATTATTATTTCGAATTTACATAAAACATACTTGACTTAAACTTTTTATGTGACTGATTTAAATCATGTTTGATACTTATTTATTACCAGCTGATCTTTGTACCAGCCACTATAAATAAAAGAAAAGTGTTTTATGTATTACAATTTTTGAAATTGTAATACATAAAACACTAATATTACAACGGATTGAAATGGTCGAGACGATCTTGGCAACAGATCTAGCTCTTTGTTTAAATAAAATGGTTATTTATTTATGTATGGTATATTGTTCAGTTCCACGCTATGGACACGCTACACAAGTCCGGCTACAGCATAGAGTCGGCGCTATCGTCGCTAGTGCCCGCGTCGGGACCGGTGTTGTGTCGCGACGAGATGGAGGAGTGGTCAGCGTCAGAGGCCAATTTGTTTGAGGAAGCGCTCGACAAGTACGGCAAGGACTTTGCGGATATCAGGCAGGACTTTGTAAGTAGAATATACATACAAAAAAAAAACTGTAATTATGAGTGCACATATTTTTATATTCCGTTCGTAGCTGTAAAACATATAGTTTATTTCCTTATTTTTTTAACTTTTGGAGATAAAGATCTTGCTACTATGATAACCCGATCTATTTTTGTCAATATACTCACAGCTTGTTTCGGTACTATTAAAATAGATATTAAATTTACCCTGTATTTTTCATGAATACTATAAGTACCAGTATTAGCAACGTAAAATTTAGATTTTAATTTAAAAAAATTGTAACCATATTTTAATTAGCGTTTAATATGTTTCATATATGTATTTAGATTTACATTAAATAAATGATTTTTATTCTTAAAATCAAGCTAATAAATCCCGTTAGGACACAGTCTTACTCAATAAAAAGAAACACAATGAGAACTTTAACCTACCACGCAGGTGTATTGTATTTGGTGGGTGCTAACAATTGCAGGTGCACCCGGGGCCAATGATTTACATGTCATCAGCCTGTTAATATCTTCAATATATCAAATTGCACTGTATCGTACATAAATGAGAGTATATTTTCAGCTGCCGTGGAAGACGTTGAAAAATCTTGTGGAATACTACTACATGTGGAAAACGACAGATCGCTATGTGCAACAGAAGCGCGTCAAGGCAGTCGAGGCAGAATCCAAGTTGAAACAAGTGTACATTCCCAACTAGTGAGTGTTTGTACCAACGAATATACTTCAATAATGTAGAGAATATATGCATTTTTATATCACGATATTAACGCTTGTTTATGACTAATATTTTATTAATTTCAAGTAATGTACAGTTTGGTACACATTTCATAGATGGAATCATGTCAGATTGATACCATTATTATCATAATATGGAAGATCGATGTAGGTAATTAAACATTACCATATTATGTGGTTCTACATTATATATATATATTGCTTGTATGCAGTGGCGTAGCTAGGTAACCTAGGGCCCTGGGGCAAATAAAAAAATGGGGCCCACTGCTCGAAAAAAAACTTGACTGGAAGTTAACAATCGCGAATCACAAAAACGCATATCGATAAATAATAATATGCAGATATTGATATCCGACATTTGATGTAAACATTAATAACACTGTCAACCCACACAAATAATTTAAGGGAATACCTTTTTATAACTTTGGAATATATTACAACTGAGTTGCCATGATTAAACTCGAGTTGTCACTTGTCATATTTATTTTGAAAATGGGAGAAATTTTCAAAAGTTGAGTTTGATTGAGATTTTCTGATAAAGATTCGAGGGCCCCCTGAGCTTGAGGGCCCCGGGGCACTGCCCCGCCTAGCCCCTTGGTAGCTACGCCACTGCTTGTATGGGGTTCTCATAGACAATAGCAATGATGAGATGAAAGTCTGTTGAACACACTTACACCCATTTTCACTAACCTAGAACAAAGCATAGGTTAACTAGGACACGCCTAATCATTTCTCACAGAGGGAACCGTATTTTATTGAACCGGTTCAAACCGGTTCTTCACTTTGTGAAGAGATCAACATGTTCCTATGTCGATCCGGTTCGTGTTATAAAACAGTTTGATAGTTCTACCGTGGTTCCGTGATCCTTGAAACTCATCGTGTAACGTATGGTGTGGTAATATTCCAGCAACAAACCGAACCAGGCGTTGATTAGTTCGAGCGCCGGCGGCGGCAAGACGCCCGCTGTACTCAACGGCGGAACCAATGGCACCGCCGCGTTACCGCCCGCACAAATCTGCCTTTCATGCCAAGGTAATACACTATTTGTATTGGTTAATAATTTAATGGTGACTTAAACATTAGCAGTGTTATTAATAAACAAGGTTAAGTAAGCGTTGGAGTAAATTCACGCTGAGACTGCACTTAGTATTAATCAAAATTCATAATAATAAACAAAGACTTAGCAAAGGTTAACCTAGTACGAGGTTCTACGGGAGTAATATTTGCTCCTAAAAAGTAGTGAGTTTGCTTATTCTCTGTATAATATGAATGTGGGCTAATACTAAAATTGCAATTTTAACGTAAATTTACTCTGATGCTAAATCAACAAGGTTTAGCACTGTAGGATTATTAATACTCTAAATAAATAAAAGTGAACCACCGAAATGTAATTTGTAGAAAATTATTTTGTTGGGTTTGTTATTAACAGGATGAGATTTGTAACGAAGATAATTTAAAAAAAATAAAGACAGATATAAAAATCAATTCTATTCTTTTCAGTCAGCTAAATATCCGCAATATATCTAATAGGTGGCGCCGTAACTATTGTTAACAAAAGAGAAAGTACGGGTAGATTACTTTATTATATACATACATTACATACACTTTTCATTAGGGTATGTGCGATGTAGGGATGGGTGGCAAGTTTGTAATAAAACATTAGTACAATAAGATCCAACTAATGGTGAATTTTTGTTTGTCTCGTGTCTGTCTCGCTCACACTGCGGAGGATAGATGTGTGATTCGCCCGACTCCGCGTTTTTGAAAGCGTTTTGATTGGTTAACATTTGTTACGCTTTGAAACCTGTGCAAGAATATAATGAGCCATTGATGAACCACATAAGTTGGATGTTACTATAACTTTATTATGATGGGTTATAAAATTAATATGCATGCAGTCATTTTAATTCTGATGATCGGCAAATTACTACACCAGTCAAATATGGACAGGAATAAACAGAAGAAAAAAAATCACAATGAGCACTCGATACCCAACACTCAAAACTTTTCAAAAGTTTCTTCCAATAAAGAAAGCGGGATTAAGATCAAATCAAGAGTATTAATTATCGATGTCGTAAACGTAATAATTTTATTTGATGATCAAAATTAATTATTTCAGTGACTACGTCAAACCAGTGGTATATGTGGGGCCCAGAACATTTACAATACAGATTGTGTGGTTCCTGTTGGCAATATTGGAAGAGATATGGTGGGCTAAAGGTACTGTGTCTTAAATACAATCTCAGTAATCTAAATAAATAATTTTGGTAGCATAAAATGTTCAAACCCCTAAGGATTATCCATAGTCGTCGCAGAGTTTTCGTTTATAAAGTTTATCTTTGATACGTCTGTTTTAGTTTAATAATCTAATAACGTTTGTATACATTTTTCAGACCGCAAATGCATTCGGTGAGAGTGAAGCGGAAGCGACGAAAGTACGACCCGACGGTGATGAGACCGCCCTCTCCGCATCACATCGCCCGCATCGTTGTACAGTACTCAACTGTGCTAAGGTATCATCATTTTGCATATTCGTTTATAGATAAATTACTACAACGTTAAATTGTGCCAGCAATTAGGTAGGCATTGGCTCCCATAATTCGCTTGTTTAAACTACATAGTATGATCGATACCTTCCACAACCCACAGGGTTACTGTGTAGTTTCATTGGCTTTGAATTAGTTGAAATTGCAAAAAAGTTAAATTCATTCAACATACATTACTTTGTTGATTTGCGTGGAGAAAAAAACAGAAATTCTATTTAGTCCATCAGTCAGATAATAGAATATTAGATGCGTATTTTTTTGACTTCCTTTTAACATGAAATAGCTAAGATAAGAATCAGTAACGTCGTTAGTACACCGACCCATTGCGAATGATGGCAGGATTGTCACCTTTTAAGAAACATAGCTCGTGATATTCAGATAGTCATCAGAAAGCGAGTAGGGTGGCGACACTGAATGCGAAACATGCGCATCTGTGTAACGACCTATTTCGCAGTCGACTGCGAAACCGTACCGACATGGACGTCGCTATTTCATGGATCTAATAATAGAGCGAGACAAAACACAGAGCCCTCAAAGGCCGGCAGCGCGCTTGTAGCCCCTCTGGTGTTGCAGGTGTCCATGGGCGACGGAAATCACTTAATCTTAGTTCGCATTAAGCTAGTATTTTAGTCTAGTAGCGAGTAGTTTAGTAGCAAAAATACTCACTACTGCCCAAAAATCGTTCGCACATTCTTCGAGTACAGTTCACAAGTGAGTTATGCTGCAAGATGAACAGCTTACAACGCAATAAAGTAAATAAACTGATTAAGCTCATTATAACGGCTATTTTAGAAGAAGTGGATGAGGAAATTTCTTTTCACCAAATCCGGGTATATTCATTTTATTTTCTAAATCCAATAATGCGGATTGTTTATTTTTATAATGCGGGGACTTAATATTCCACAAGCATTCATTTTCCAAATATTTGGAAACGAATTTTAAAGTTGTTTCTTCGCTCCAGCGAAACGACATTTTTAGGCAACTAATTAACTCGACTAATTTGACAGGTACGGACTCGTTTAGTCGGTGATTCGGTAAGCGCGGACATGTGGTGGGAGGTACTACTCGCCCGAAAAAATAGAATAAAATGGATCGACTCGACTAAATTACTTACTAAGCTACTAGACTATATTTTTGTTGTTCAGACACGTTTTGCTACTAAACTACTCGCTACTAGACTAAAATACTAGCTTAATGCGAACTAGGCTTTACCATCAGGTGATCCGTTCGCTCGTCTGCCCCCTATCCCATAAAAACAAAAAAAAAACCCACATGCGAAACAAATCAGCCATGATGTAGACGGAGCACGTGTGTATGTGGCAGGAGTTCAAGTTGCGCGCTCACCTGGCGCGCCACGTGGCGACGGCGCACGGCACGGGCGAGGGCGCGCGGCCCGTGATGAAGACGCGCGCCGCGTTCTACCTGCGCGCGTCGCCCTTCACGCGCCTGGCGAGGAGGCTCGCGCGCGCGCTCAGGCGTCCCAGACACTTCGCGCGCTCGCCATTCTCGCCGATCAACCTGCAACAGGTCAAACACGAGTGTGAGTATATACGCCGTTTTAATATATAGTTATATTTCACTAGCTCACCCGACACACGTTGTCCTGTATTGTCAAATGAATTTAAATGTTTACAGTACGCATTCTGTCAGTTCTATGTCAAACGTCATAAGGTTGCATTAGAAATGTTTATATTATCCAAAGCGCTAAGGTTAGATTTTAAAAATATATATTTAGTGGTTGAACATTCTTAATTTTTCATTTTACATACAATTTTCTTTTTGTCTTTTATAAGAACCTTGTTCTGACGATAAAAAATACAACAAAAAAGAATTTGTAAAATAGATCCAGCCGTTCACGTGCGATGACGTGACCGAGAGAAATAAGGATTCATTTCTATATATCGACGCTGAAAAGCAAACACGTAGTAACCTGCAAAACCAAAATGGACATTTGTAGTGGAATCACTTTATATTTTTCCAAGAAAAATCTATTTTCCGTATAAATTGACTTAGGAACATCTTATTTGTTACCATGGACGTTATAGGAATAGTAGTATAATTTTTTTTTTCAGTAAAACAAAACTACAAATATTAGAATTAATTTTGTATGCAATGTACAGTTATTACTTAAAATAATATTCTTAAACATAATCAAGTCTTATCACTGAAAATTATGTTCAAAATATATTCCTTCTTTCTCTATATATGATGTCATTTTTAAACAAAATCGGTTGTGAAATCTGGAGATAGTTCTGCAATGTCCATTTTCAAATGTCGGATAGATCAATTGTTAATGGTATCATCTAAATGTGTGCTCAATTTCTGAAAGAATATGCGAATGATTGATTGTTTTTACATAAACTTTATGTAGGTAATACGGATGATGAACAGGTAAAAAAAGAGAAATTATTTAGTTCATCAGTCAGATAAAAGAAAAATATTAGATACGCATTTTTCTTTGTTCGTCATGCGACATTTCAAATCGACGTAATTTATTGATTACGCGAAAAAAAATTGTATTAGGAAAACTTCAATAATTTACCTGACGTAGAAACAAACAATAAATATTCATCATGCCTATTGTTTTCGTGTATCAGGTTCCATAGCGATGGCGGGCCTGGGCGGGGCGGAGATGCGGGCGGGCGCGGGCGTGGGCGGCGGCGGCGGCGGGGGCGGGCGGGCGCGCGGCGCGGTCGGCACGGTGGCGACGCGGCTGGCGGCCGCGCGCGGGGCGCCGTCCCCGCTGGCGCGCGCGCACGAGTGGCTGCTGCTCACGCCCAGGGACCGCATGCCCAAGCCGGCGCACGTCGCCTTCCCTAAACCACCCAAGGCGCCAGGTACACGTCACACGTTACACGTCACACGCGCGCGGCAAAACACTGGGACGACGCCCAATAGAAAATCACTACAAAATTATAGTAGTTTATCCCCCTTAGCATTAAGAATCTTCCATTTAATAGCTTTAAAAAGGCACTATTTATTTGGTTGTGTGATAATGCTTTTTATAATGTTAGGGAATATTTAAATCATACAAATAAGTAGCGAATGCATATGTTGTGAATTGTGTAATGTCTTTAAATGTGTGATATTTAAGTTTGTTTGTCATTATTTTTGTTTTTTATTTTTTTCTTCAATTGGACATTCTCTTCTTTTATATTGATACTGATTTTATAATTTAATTTGTTTGACATTCTTCAAGTGGGAATAATTATTGTAGGCTATAATAGTTTTATGTAACAATGATATTTCTAATTTAATAATTTTGACATACATATATCCAATGTGACTTTGTAATTTTATCAATATTTGCATGCTATAGCTGATGACTAAATGGGCTGAACTCAAATTTTAATTCAATCTACAATGTACCTCATTTAAAAGCAAATAAATCATAATTATTATTATTAACTGTCTTATAAGAAGGGGTATTAAAACACGAGAGTGCCTAATAGGTTGACTCGAGTGTTTTAATACCTAAGTTATATGCAGTTTCATACACTACTTTATCTTCACTCATAGGAAAAATTGAAGGCAAACAAAGTAGGTAGGTTACAAGGAAGTAATTTTTTGGAATCACGAATACAAAAACATGATCGCCAAAAAAATTTATGGGTAGCGCGGGAAATTAAGTTCAAACTGTGCATGCGTGCGCCATTTTTTTTCAGCCTAAAACCATAGACTAGTTTCATGAATAAAAAAAGATAGCGGTACTATAATGAATTTTATTTTTTATTTTATGTATAAACGTTTATAAAGTGCGTATTTATAGAATCGTCTTTGAATTCGTAATTGGAATATTTCGATTTGAGTGTAGATAAAACACCATTGAGTATTATGCTTTTATTAATTTGTTTAGTTCCAATAATTATTTGGCCATTATTTTATTTTTTTTATTCTTATCGCCTAACATCCAGACTCCGACATCTTTTTCTGGTAGACTGGTAGAGAATGCATTTGGCATTAAGTCCGTCTTTTGTGTTTAAAATGCAATAAAAATAAATAATAATGTAAGTACGCCACACCGATTGAAGGATCTAATTTTGTCAACTACAAAAGAAACTGCAAATGCAGGTCTGAAAGTTTAGTACTTTAAAAAAATACAGTTGACATGATCAAAGAACAAAAATATTTCTTTTATTTAAGATTTCACTTAGGGGGCGTACATAAATTACGTGAGATGTTTAAGGGGGGGAGGGGGTCGAGTCAAATCTCATCTAATCTTACGTTGGAGAGATGGGGGGTCTCGGCAAATATCACGCAATTTTTTTTCTGATTGTAACAAAAAAAAATACTATTATATATATATTTTGTTCCATTTAATCCAGATTGTACATGCTTAAGATTTTATCTTAAGCGTAATCGTATACGATTTAGATCATTCGCTTAATCGTTCGAGAGAAAATAATTTAATTCTTCTTCTTCTTTTACTCTTTGTTGGCTAAATTTGGCTTCCATAAAAATAATCTATGACTGAATTTGAAAATTCCCACATTTTGAAAAATCTCATGTGAGATTGGGGGATGGGGGAGGGGGTTGAATAAAATCTCACGACATCTCACCAGGGGGGGAGGGAGGGACAGAAACTTAAAAAAAAAACACCTCACGTAATTTATGGACGCCCCCTTATCGTAAAAAAAAGAAATGCCACATATGCTAAGAACTCTTTCCCCAGGATTTAATATCATAGTTTTTTATCAATGTAAGAAAATATGAATTAGTGTATAGAAACTTGACATTTTTTATTTTTAGATGGTAGCCTGATGTATGAACGCGTTGCGTCACGCGCGGAATTAGAAGCTCGCAGAACTGAACCTGCGCCCGCGCAACCACTTAAACGTCGCGCATTCGACGATATCAACGGACTTGACAGTCAGTATACAATACTGTATTTATTTATTAAGACGGAACATAAAGTCATAAGCATTGGCAGTTATCAAAAAAAATTCATTTTTATCCAAAGTGCTATCTAGTGTCACTAGATGAAACTTTTGTTTTATAAAATTACTCCTTAATTTTTTAAATGAGGTAAAGTTTAATTGGTTTTTTAAACATTATACTTACATCATGCAATTAAAAATTTGTTATTTTTAATCGATAGATTATAAAACTATTTTCTTTTTTTTTCGCTATCATTTTGGAATAGCAGCGACAGGTTTGTTAATTTACTGTGTCTTTATAATATACTAGATGTAGTTAATTCATTTTTCTAGCAAGTTAAAACTTACTTGCGTTCAAAATTTGTGTCTTGATGTTCTTACACTTTTCAATCATTATGACTATAAAGAGTAAACAATAATAATATGCAAATTCACATTTATGATTTGCTAATTATGTTTCCAAAATCAATAAATATTCACTGTGTTTGAAGTCTGCATTGATAAAAGTAGCGGTTCTAAAATTGAGCCCTGAGGTACACTAGAGTTTTGTTATGGTATTAAACAAATTATTATTTATTACCATTTTGTGATATCAACTATATATAAAGTTATCTCGTATAACTTTCAATGCAATGTTATGAAGAAATATCTCGTGATCCACCTGTGCTAAGACTTTCCAAAAGTCCGTATATACAGCATTAACATGAAATCTATCATATTGCAATCCATGCAATACAGTAGTTTCGGTAGTCAAAAATAAGTCACTAAATTGTAGAAAAACTAAAATTTACATTGTAATAAACGTAAATGGAGAGGGAAACGGAGGATGAATAATCGAATATTGTCAAATATACGCGAGCGTGGTATCAAATGAGAGGTTCAATTCATACAATCGAATAAATTGACTTTATTAAGGTTTCTCCTCAGTAAAGTCAATCGAACAAATTTACTTTACTGAGTACTCACATTAAAAAGCAATATCATAATAAACAAAAACAAAATCTTTTTATCGTAGTTGTGCACATGACTTTTTGTTTAGTTAGGTACATTTTAAAATTGTTTTCCATATTGGCATTGGAGATCAAAAATAAAAAGAAGTCTATTATATAAACATGTTGCTATTTAATAATAGTTATGCAGTTTTTCACTATTATTGAAATTAATAAGAAATCGAACTAAAAATAAAAGAAACTAATTATATTATGGCTTGGCTAATCAAAATTCTCTGCAATCGGGCGACATTTGCCATCTAAGAGGTCCCGACTGCAGAGAAAATAGCGTTTAACCGAGCCATAATACAACTAGTTTCTTTTATTTTTAGTTCGATTTTGACAGGCGTGTTTTTAAATTATTTATTATTATTTTATTCCTTTTAGTAAGTATGTACATGCCCACGCTATTCCTCAGCAATTAGTATAACTGTGTCCATATATAAACAATGTTTTAGTATAGAAAAATAAAATACCAATTTTCTTTTTTTTATTGTAAACGTATTTTCTAATAGCAATAGGCAATGTTACTCGGGATGATAAACGTTTTTAAGGATACCCTACAAATTCATATCTGTCCAGTCCTAACCAACCCTAAACACAATACCCTATTTTTTTGGGCAGTCGTGTAAAAATACATGAGAATGATAATAAACTAAAATATTAACTAAAGAAAAAATTCTTCCTATATATTATTTTCTATTAATGACACTAAGCTATATGGAAAAATGTGTGCACTCATGTCATTTTTTTTAAGGATAATATCCAACAATCAACATTTTAAGATTGTTAATGGATACCTGTTTAAGGATACCAGAATTCTTAATATTCTTATGAAATACATTTTGCATTTTTTAAAATGTAAATTTAGGTTTCAGACCTTGACTTCAGAGATTACCTTGAGTCCATAGTTTCAGTTAAGGTGGATGCCATTTCCCAACTGAAATAAGTTATACGAGGGGTGTTCAAAAAGTAGTGAGAATGACTATGTTAGAGAATGAATTTATTTTTGAATATAGAGAATGAATACATTTAGCAAATCGTTTTTCTAGAGCCAAAATTCCCTTTTATTTAGAAAATCTTCATCTTGAGTACTTAAAAAATCGTTTACGGCGGCCTTCATTTCTTCGTCATCTTTAAATTTTGTGTCTCTCAAGTGTTCTTTCAAATGCGGAAATAAGTAGAAATCACTAGGGGCTAAGTCCGGTGAATATGGTGGATGATCGAGGATCTCAGAGCCAGTATCTTGGATTGCTGCCATGGCAACTGCAGACTTGTGGGCCGGCGCGTTGTCTTGATGGAACAAAACTTTCTTCGTGACTTTTCCTCGTCGGTTTTTAAGGATATCCTGACGTAATTTGTTCTTATTTGTTCTGCGTAG